AAGGAGTCTTCCTATCTCATATCTAGGGATGCCTCTTGGAGGGAATCCAAAATCTCTATTCTCTCAATTTCTGGAGACCAGTGGTTGAAAAATGTGAGAAAAAACTTTCAGCTTGGAAGAAGTGCTATCTCTCAAAAGGGGGGAGACTTACTCTCTTCAATGCCTCCTTAGCAAATATGCCAGTCTACTTCCTTTCAACTTTCCAGATTCCAACCAAAATCCGAAATCAGATTGAGAAGCTTCAAAGGAACTTTCTTTGGGAAGGAGTTGGGGAAAAGAGGAGTCACTTAGTCAGTTGGAAACAAGTTTGCAAGCCGAAAGAGGAAGGTGGCTTGGGAATTGGGCACTTAAAAGAGAAAAATTCTTCTCTCTTAGGTAAATGGCTGTGGAGGTTCCCTAAAGAACCCAATGCTCTTTGGACTGCTGTCATCTCAAGCAAATACAGATCAAATGTAAATGGGTGGGATAGCAATCTCCATTTGAACAGGATAAAATCCACAAATCCATGGAAAGGTATCACCTCCACCTATTCTTCCCTCTTTCCTTTCATAAGATATAAGGTAGGAAATGGCTCAAAAATAAAATTCTGGAAAGACCTTTGGTGGGGGGAATCTACCCTTGCTGCCTCCTTCCCTAGACTTTTTACCCTTACCCTTGACCAAGAAGCCACTATTTCTGCCTGTCTTCCAGACCAAACTGTTGAGAACACCCTAAACCTTCAATCCAGAAGAACCCTAAGGGATTTGGAAATTTCTGAATTAATAACATTAATTCAGACCCTTAAACAAGCTTACATCTCCCCCTCCAAGTCTGACACTCGAATCTGGACCCTGCACCCCACTGGTGAATTCTCTTCTAAGTCTATGTTCAAGGCTTTGATTACTGATGATCATCATCCCCCCTTTCCTTTTAAGAAGATCTGGTGCAGCCACATTCCCTCAAGAGTTTGTTTCTTTGTCTGGGAAGCTTGCCTCCAGAAAGTTTACACTTGTGATCTCTTGCAAAAAATGTTTTTGGGTAGACTGCCTATCTCCCCTCATGTCTGTATCTTATGCCTCCAGAAGGAGAATCAGCAGATCACATTTTCCTTCACTGCAAATTCACCCAAAAGATATGGTTCCATTTTCTAAAAATGGCAGTTTACAGTTGGGCTATACCTGTTAAGGACTTTCTACATCAGTGGCAAGGAACAGGTTTAAGTAAGAGGGGTAAAATTTACTGGCAATCAGTGTTACACGCAGTGCTGTGGGGTGTTTGGGATGAAGAAACAAAAGACTTTTTGACAACAAATCAAGGCCCCTGGAGGAGTTAATTTCAGACATCTCTTACCTGTGCAACCTCTGAACGGTGAATTCAGATCTTTTCAGAGGAGTCTCAGTCAATGACCTCAATAGAGATACTCACCTTTTCTTATTTCTCTCTCACCTCCATCAACCACCCTTGAGACTTCCTGAACCCATCAGTGAAGGTGTGATAATCTTAAACTTTTTTTTTGATGAATGATAATCTTAAACTTTGATGGAAGTGCTTTAGGTAATCCCGGATTAGCTGGTATTGGAGGAACATTAAGGGATGAAAGGGGCAACATCTGTTAAACATTCAGCGGTCCAATTGACGTGGTAGATTCCACAGAGGCTGAAGTAATGGCTGCCCTCACAGGAATCAGAATAATAAAAAGTTTGGGAATTCAAAATATAACCATTGCAGGTGATTCAGCAAATACTATAAAATGGTTAAGAAACAAAGAGGGGGGCCCTTGGAGATTAAGTCACTATTTAGAAGAGGCCAGGGACTCTTTGGAATGCCTAAATGTAAAGTTAGTTTGGATTCCTAGGGAATACAATCATACAGCAGATGGCTTAGCTAAATGTGGTGTGTTCTTAGAGCAACTATATAGCGACAAACTTCCTCCTTTGTAATTTGTAGGGGTTCTCCCCCTGCTTTGTACATCTTCTCATGTACCTCTTTTTTATTAATGAATCTTGGTTAACGATTTTCAAAAAAAATATAAAGGGTCTCTCATTAGAGAGAAGAGAGACACAATTGGCTTATGTATTGTTTAACCAACAATCTCAGCTCTTTTCTCTTCAAAAAAAGCTTTGGTCCAACACCTAAAGGTTCCTAGCCTATCATCATTGGGCATTGGTCAAAGGAACTCTAGGCAAAGCTTTGGTCACCAAGCCCCTCCAAAGAATTTCCCAACCTTCATAAATTCACAACTTTGATGAAATCATTGAACTTCCCCATGCTGGTTGTAATGACCTGTTGAGGATTTTTCATTCATCCGTGAACCTAATTACACTAAAATCCCTACACAAGCACCAAGGACCCTCCCATAATCCTTGGGTTTCGTAAAGCTCTTCCTACATCTCATATTCAAATTTCTCTCTGTGTAGTTATTTGGCCCATACAAATTGAGTAACACCCACAAAAAACCATTCTCCAGATTTCTAAACTTCAAAGATACTAAAAATTTGCCTATTAATTCCTCCAAAGCTTCTATGACATCCTCTCTCAAAAACATAACTATTCCATCAAAATCTCCCCAAGAAGTGGCTGAGATCCTGCTCACTCCTCTTGACTTTCACATGCTCCTTGCCAATTTTCTATCCAGTTCCGCTAATTTAGTTTCCTGTAACATCACAATATCAACCTTTCTCTTCTTAGTAGATCCCTTATAGCCTTGTTTTCCTAGCACTCTTTTATGTGCACTCCTCTTGACTTCCACACCTTTTACATTTTCTTCTCTCAATTCTTTCAAAACCACATTCCTCATTAATAAAAGGGATTTATCATGGGCTTAAACCAGATCAGAAAACGGCAACAAGTTTTTCCCATCATCATCATATCATCATTGTCCAAGCCTTAACCCAACTATATGGGATAGGCTACATGAATCTTGTTCTTCCTATCAGTTGTGTTTAATGCCATATCCATTGTTAAATTATTGGCACTTTAATCATTTCTTACTACTCCTAACCATATCCTTTTTGGTCTTCCCCTTCCCCTTCTAGCCCCTTCAACTTGTAACAAATCACTTCTTACAAGTGTTGTTGATGGCCTTCTATGCACATAATCAAACCATCTTAGTCTATTGTCTCTCATTTTATCACCTATTGGAGCTATTCCTAAGTTCTATAAATGACTTCATTCTTTTATCATATCCTTTCTTGTTTTCCTTCCCATCCATTTCAGCATACAAATTTATGCCCACATTCAATTTCTGGACATGTTGATTCTTCACTACCCAATGCTCTGCTCCATAAAACATAGCTGGCCTTACAACTGCAGATGCAACCCTCCGTTTTGTCCATGCTGCTCTAATTCTATGGGTGACATCCTCCTCAATCTCACCCTTGTTATGAATTATCGAACCAAGATACCGAGAAAGGAAACATTGAGTTATCTTGTGGTCTCCAATCCTAAGTGTACCCTGATTTGCACTCCCATTGCGAGGCGTGCACCTTTTTAAGAAAGGYGCAAAATTACAAAAAAAAAGTCAGAAAATTCAAAAAACAATGCCAAAAAATTTTTAAAAAATGCAAAAAAAAATCAAAAAATATTAAACATAATGTTAATAAAAATATAAACTTAAATTTTAAAATAAATGATTTAAAAAACCTATTATCTAAAATTAAAATACATAAACATAACATGTAAAGTGTATTCAAATGAAAATTTAAAAATAAAAGCAAACATATAAAGCATTTTCAAGCATGTAAAACCCACAATCTCTTTTTTTTCCTTAATTGCATTGCTTTAAGTAGCTAATGTGATGTAAAACATATTGCATTCTTGATTCTATGAGTCGCCTTTGTACCACGCCCCTTGAGGCAAGCCCGAGGGGTGCACCTAGGACCTGGGCAAGGTGCCTTTTGAAAGGGGTGCGCCTAGGACCTGGGCGAGGTGCATACCCCAAAATGCGCCTCGCCTGTGCGCCTAGGCATGCCTGAGGCACGTCTTTTAAATCACAAGTCAAGAATGGACCATAAGATATGAAGGTTAAGTTATTGGTTATAATTGTTATATGGACCAATACCAAACAATGTTTTAAAACGTGGAGGCATGCACAAGGCATTCCACTATATTGAGGCACAAGCCATGATTCGGAATACAAGAGGAAGAGAAATGTGTCTTCAGCTTTGTTGGGTTAGGGTGTCTACTTCCTGTGGTGTTCATGTTGATGGTGATAGATTTCCATTTCTTTTTTTTTTCGATAGATTTCCATTTCTTTTTTTTTCAATAGACTTCCATTTCTTGGCATGAGGCATTTTGTTGTTATTTTTCTTTTGGATAGGTAATTGGTTTGTGTTTCAGTTTGTTTTGGTGAGCACTTTGTTTATTTCACTCTTTTAAATTTGATGGATCACTAACATCCACTATAGTTTTCCAAAGGAATTCATTAAACTGTGTAAAAAGAACATTTGATCTTCTTGGAAATCATTTAAGCTAAGCATCAACATTTTTCAACAATATAATGTCGAGAAGTTCTAAACAAGAATAATATTGTTTTGAAGCTTTTTTTAGTTTGTACTATTTATAAGACAATCCATGTATATAAGCTTATCTAAACATATACTTCATGCTTTTACATTTGAATGTGGGAAAATTCACTTCATATATGGAAATAAGCTCCATAGATTTTTAGACAACCAAATTTCTTAGAGCATCTGAAAGTTCTTACATGTCTGACATCAATGCACTTGCCATGTTTAAGTAATATAACGTCAAAATATTTGAAAAACATATGTAGTACGTTGCAACAAGTACAACTTCTTATAAAATAATAAGACTTTCATCATTCCCAAAAAAATCAGTTCAAAATTCACATATTCTAGTATATGATAAAAATTGTACAGAGGTATTCAAGTACCGAGTCTGCTGGACTCTATGTTTGACAATTTTAATGTCTGAAATCAATACAGGTTCAATTTTCAAGTAGCAAAATATCTAGGACAAAGTAAAAGTAAAGCATCTTATCAAGTATAGATGATACTTACTTTCTTAAAATTCCTTTGAGAAATGGAAACATYTGTTGCAACTGTTCCAGTTGTGACAAACCTTGTACGAAGGTGACAGGGACAAGGAACAAAAACATGAAAAGAATAGCAGCAAAAAGAATTGCTATTCGACGGAACCAAAGCTGCCAATAGGGTATCCAAAGGTTTGACCAATAAACATCATGTGGCTCTGGTGCCAAATCAGTGACCCATAACATGGGATTTGAAGATTGAAGAACCTGTGAAACAACAACAGCAGCATAGCGGGTCTTGAAAAAAACAAAAGCTGCAGCACATTCCTGCATGGGAGGTGGATATTCATAGTCTCAGTAAAGCTACAAACCTACTAGCAATAATTCCCATGGCTAATGAGGTTTATAGACATTCCATTGCACTTGTGTGTGTGTGTATAGGACTTTTTATGAAAAAATTAATAAAGCTTTATTGATTTACAAAATCAGATATGTTTTGAAATAAATTACAAAAACAGTTAGGAAGACGAAAAGTTAAATCTTCTTGACCAAATTGAACCCAATTAAGATCAAGTGGCTTGCAATCAAAGACCCCATGAAAATCTGACTGCACTGTAATCATGATGTGATCTATGAATGATACATCTCCTACATTTCTGTTTGTTGACTTCTTTATCTTTAATCCATAACTTCTTGCCCAAACTCAAAATAATCAATTGATGGTTTGATGGCTTATGGGGCATCCACCAGATGAGCGAAAATTTCATCCACCAGATTGTACCTTCAGCGAGAAGAACGGAATCGACCACAAGTTTTGGGACCAACTTTTTTGGGTGGAGAAACTTCTAGCTCTTTGAACAAAAACATCTACAAGTTTATGAGTTCGCAGATCACCACTTCATCTCTCCAACATGTTGTTTTCACAAACTCTTACTCTTCATTCCTTCCCATTCCATCACATTGTTAGAGTCCACTCCTCATTTAAGAATGATAACACCACTATCAACAAGCTCGGTACTCTTCTCTCTTCGGTAMGGGTTTCAGGTTCTCATAGCGCCAATATTCTAACCTATCAGCATGTATCTCCGCTCACTCTTCATTCAATCCTTGGAGTTCAAACTTAACAGTTGAGGTTAACACTCACAATAAGATTCAACAGCAAAAGCATCTTGGCTGTCAATGAAAGCAGGAAAGAAGAAATAAAACTTAAGGTCAAAGGCCTCTCACTTTTCATATACTTTTAAGGGGTAATATTGTCCAATAAAATAATATTTCTTTCCTACTCATCTATTTGAACATTATTTTGTAAACGTTACCGATTTTGTCGATTTAGAAAACTTTATTAACCATCAAAGCAAAAAGTGAATATATATATGAAGGGAGACTTTCTACATATTTCTGAGCTCTTACATCAATGAATTATTGTGTAACTTTTATCCTCACTCTTTCCTCTTCCAAGATAGTAAAGGGCACAAGGTGGATGGCCTCTACATGTTGGAGAACAAAATTGGTTCGGAATCAAGAAAATCTTTTGAGATCATGGGTTAGTCTCTGAGTCAATGTAATAATAGTAAGATATATTTGTGGCATTGTCATCTTTGGCATTTGTCTTTTGAGTTGTTGCAACTTTTGTTACCAATGTTTTTTAAATCTTAGTGTCCTCTTTGAAGTGCTAACTTTTTCTCAATCAATGACAAGCGATGTCATTAAGGATTTTTGGCTCTAACCCCTAAAATTTATGAACAGGTCAATTTTGACCCTCATGAATAAAAAGGGCCATTTTCGACCACAGACTTTCATACAAAGGCCATTTGCAGGCAAAAATAGACGATGTTGACAAAACCRTTGGGCAATGTTATGTGGCACTACTAAAGTTTGAAAACGGACACTTTCAATCCTACAGTTTGAAAATGGACCACTTTAATAAAGTTAATTAAGTAAATTACTTCAATGTCTAATTAAATGACCTTGAAGTATAATTAAGTTTTAATTTACTTAATTAATTAATAGAGTTAGTTAATTAAATGACCCTATAGTTTTTAATTTATTTAATTAAGTTAATAAAGTAAATCAAATAAATTTCACTAATTAAGATAATTAAGTAAATTAAGCAACTAAATCAATAAATTAAATTAAGTAAACAAAGTTAATTTATTAAATTAAATAAACAAAGATAATCAATCTAAATAAGTAAATTATGCCAATTAAGCAAGGTAATTTAAAAACTAACAAAAAACAGAACCACTTTGGTCACCAATTTCTAGGACAATAGTCTAACAATTTAGCAGTTCAACTGTCTAGGACAACGATTTGTCAACCAAATCAATGTTTTTCCTTGAAAAATTCCAAGCCAAGCATAAAATCAAACTGCTGACCCAAGTGATCGAACCACTAAGTTGATTGATTTGATAAATGGTTCGTGAGTCATTTTATTTTAATTATATTTTACATTTTATTTTTCAAAATGTCATGGATCAATCAATTTAGACCAAACAATTCAACTATTGACATAGAACCATTGACCTAGAACCGCTGAGGGTGGTTATAAGTACTTTATCAGTTTTATTGACAATTATTCATGCTACACTTGCGTATATCCACTTAACTCACAAGAAAAAGTTCCAAAGGTATACAAAATTTCTTTGATGTGCTTTTCACATTTTTTTTTATCAATAACAGAAACTTTTATTAATTAAGAGGATATGGAAAGGATACAACAAGGGGGGTAAAATCTCTTACCCCACCCAAAAAACATCACATTACAATACAGCCCCAAAGAAACTAGTTCTTCCCACCCCTTGTTTAGCTAGATAATCTGCAAAAGAATTGGCGCTCCTCTTGGACAACTGAAACTGAATTTGCATGTCTTGAGTGAGCTGGAAAATTTTCTTTTTTTCATTCGAGAACTTCCATAAACTAGCCTCTTCCTTCTGTAGCCAGTTAATAGCCAGTTTAGAATTACCCTCCACCAACAGCTTCCTAATATTCAGCTGTTTGGCTCTTTTAATTCCTTCTAATACTGCTGAAATTTCAGCTCTCAGAGAATCCCCCCAGCCTATAGGCCTTGAAAACATAGCCATAATTCGACCTTCTTCATCCCTGAACACTCCTCCAATACCTAAAAGACCTGGGTTCCCTTCACTGCTACCATCAAAATTCAATTTAGTAAACCCCATAATTGGAGTAGACCAAGTTGGAACAGTAGCATTAAACAGCCGAGCAGACCAGGCAACTTCTTTCCAATTTCTAATGATGTCTCCTACTGAGATACCTTCAAAAAGCTCCATAGACTTGACCCAATGAACCACCCTAATGTAGATTAAATCAATGATGGCTTCTTTGTTCCTTTCTTTTTCCTGGAAGCTCCGTTGATTTCTTTCCTCCCACACTGACCAACATACAGCTACTCTTACACATCTCCACAAGATCTTACCTCTCTTTTTTAAACCCCTYACTGGATTAGAGTTAAACAAGCTTAGTACACTTGGGGGAGTGGGCCACCTGCAACCAAAAAGAGGAAAAAACCAACACCAGATTTCTGAAACAAAAGGACAAGAACTCTCACCATTCCTCTTGCATAAGATACACCAGTGTGGGGACAAACACCATCTTGGCCTTTTCTTTTGAAGTCACAAGTGTTACACTTTCCTAGGATAGCTTCCCAGCATAAAGCACCTACTTTGGGAGGAATTGGTCTACCCCAAACTTCCGGAGCCGGGAAAGGATGATCAAGGGCCAAATGGGAATGGGTTAATTCCTTGAAGAAGGAAGAGCATGAAAAAATACCCGAAGGAGTAGGAGCCCAAATCCTACTGTCCAATCTAGAGGGGTCAACAACTACCTCCTCCAAAATCTTTATCAAATTAGAAATGGAATCGAATTCAAAGTCTCTAAGAGGCCTCTGGAAGCCCAAGTTCCAAGCAGGGCCAGAAGTAGAATAGGTTAGGAAAGTAGCAAYAGGCACATTTTTAAACCTTGAGAGAGAGAACAACAAAGGAAACTGCTCTTTCAAAGGTGAGTTACCCACCCAGATGTGTTCCCAAAATCTTACGGAATTTCCAGAGAAAAGGTCATACCTGATAAAAGGAAGGAAGGGTGGAAGAATAGTATGAATAGACTTCCAGGGAGAAGCTCTTGTAGCCCTAGATGAAACACCCGTGTCCCAACCATTTGCCTCTTGCCCATGAATACTTAGGACTATTTTAGCCCACAGATTATCCTTTTCCTTTGGCAGTCTCCATAACCATTTCCCCAACAAGGCTTCATTCTTCTTCTACAAGTTACCTAAGCCAAGACGACCATCCTTTCTAGCTCTATTTACCAAATCCCACCTAATTCTATGAACYCTTTTCTCCTCCCCAGGTTCCCATAAGAAACCTCTCATGAATTTCTCCAACACCCTACACACTCCCTCAGGAATCTTAAACATAGACAGAAAATATATCGGGAGGTTCGCCAAGATTGCTTTAATCAATGTTATCCTACCACCCAAAGATAGATAGTTTTTCTTCCATGAAGCTAGCCTTTTTGTGAATTTCTCAATCACTGGATTCCAAAAGTCCTTTCTACTAGGAGTATCCCCTAAGGGAAGTCCCAGATATTTCAGAGGCCACTGT